GTTCAAGTGTATACATGACAATCTGTGGTACAGTTACACATTAGCTTCAAACAGCAACTAAAAAAGAAAGAATGGAAATGTTTTAGATAACAATACGTTCACTGACACAAAATCAGTGTCAGAGAAGCAAAAAACTGCAGTCGTATCAAATAATTGAGTGTAATTATCATTGATTACACAACCAATGAAATTAATTACAACCCACTTTTAAAGGGTTTATAATGATATGGGCTTGAAAATAAAAAAGTGAACCATTAATATAATAGCTCTTACAGATATGTACTATCACTGAATGCAACTGATTTCTCTGCAACAAAAGAGTACTGTAAACAACCTACAACCTAACCGAATATATCAGATTGAATTAAACACATTCTCAGAGCAATATGACTTGACATTTGTGGTTAAATCATGTCCTGCAAAAGCATTGCACTTAATAACATGATACTGCTCTGTTTGCCAGTTAGGTTGGACTTGATCAGGCTCAATAAATCGCTTTGCTAAGTGACTCATGTCCTGAAGTGAAGTGGATGCCTTTAGACAGATTGCCGTGCCAGACTGCTACAATAATCTGCTTTAGTTTCCACACAGTCACAGTCATAGTAAAGCATGTCACATGTGGGCCGCTCAACTGAACACGAGTTGTTCATGGCCCTTCTTTAGGGTGAAACAACTAGTACTGACTCACACAAGATAAAAAAACAAAGCATTGAGTTATTTTATTGTTTCTGATTTTGTGTTTTTACAATATTTTTACTTATTTATTTATTTTTATTTATTTATCATTGTTTTAATTTACTTGTGTTTTATTGTATTTTTGTCTTGTGTTTTAATGTTGACTGTACAGCGCTTTGGTCCACTGTAACACTAAACATAAAGTTGGACTGGATTAGATTGGAAATATCAAACAGTGACGCTGCATTTGTGATGGACTTGCGACCTGTCCAGGGTGTACCCCGCCCCTCGCACTGTGACTGCTGGATATGGGCACCAGTGACCCACGCGACCCTGAAAAGGAAGAAGCGTGTACAGAAAATGGATGGATGGATGGATGGATGACGCTGCATTTCAACTAATCCAAAGGATAAAATATGAGCTAACCAAGATGGGCGTCTGATGTGTAATGGACTTTCTTACATCTTAAAGGGTTTTACTTCTGAATGTGACAGACACTAACTTTCTGAACAACTATTGAAACTCTGCAGTTTTGGGTCAAACAATTCAGTCAAAAACAGCTAAGAGCTAAGAGTACTGAGGCAAATAATATCTGACATACCAGACTAGCTCCCGAGAACAGTCTGAGGCTAGCAGCCCAGAGCCTCTGAATCAAGAGTTAATGCAGATACAATCACAGATGGCAAACTGTAGAAAAATGTGACACAAGGGAATGTCAGTATGTAGACAAAAGAGGCAAACCCACACAGTCTTTGACAGTTTACTGCTGAGCATTGCTGGTGAAATCAAAGCCATCCTAATTCATACGCACGCCGCATGAAATTAAATCTATAACCTTTCCTTTAAAGCATGAAATTCTCAAATGCATTGTGTGAAATTGCCAACAAGACCCCTTTAACAAGACAGCTTCATCACCCCCCTGCAAGGCTCCACTGAACAGAGCTAACATTTGCCCTGTTATGACTTGTTCACACAGAGAAACAAAGATGTAATTGGCACCAATGCTGACAGTATTCTTAGAAAAATGCCTTGTGGTTTCTATAAATCCTACTGTCTATGATTTAAACAAGAGCAAAGGAGAGAATAGTTGTGTCAAAAGGGGAGGCTTTGGAAACTATGAAGGAAGATTAGAAACAAAAGGCTCTGAAATAATTCAGTCTGGAATAGAAGACATTTCACAAGGGAAACATCTGTGGTCTTACCAATCCAACATAATGCACATTTTAGGCTCTTTTTACATAAATTGAATTGACACATCAGTACTGACACCAGCATCAAGTGTTGGTCCAATACTGTGTGAATGTTTTTGTACAAGTTTTTCGATACCTCAGTGCCCCATACCACTTAAAGGTACCACCTCTCAGTTGAGCAGTCATGTGGTAAAGAAGGAGCAGTGTCACTAGTGTGGAAGCATTTTGTTTTGTTTTTAGTTGGCTGTACAGATCCACACTCCTTACCAGTTGGTAGCTGTAATGCACAAAGTTGTTTGCCAAATGCCAATAAACACTTCCAAAAGAAGATGAAAAATAAGGCAAATCTCTCCACTCACCAATGGGAGTTTTTGGAGAAGAACATTGCTGTCCTGGCTCTTTTTTATTTTTAAAGTAATTGTAAGGTGAATAATGACATTTTAGTACTCTGCTGTTCCTTGATCTGCAAATAACCAAATGCAAGCACATGAACTTGGTTTAAAAGAAACAGGGTAGGTGCGTCACTAAATTAAAAAAATCAATCTTTCTTGGCAAAAGGCCATGTTTTTAATTAGAATTAGTACATAAGAACAACTGATGTCTTACAAATGTCAAGGTTATGTGTTCTGAATTTTTTAATCTGA